TGTGACATCACAAGGAGATTTTGTGGGTTAGTAGAAACTCAGGTTACCCAAATATATGTTCAGAAACACTGTAGAAGTAGATTTTTCATAATATGTCCCCTTTAAAGGAGTCACTGTTAGTAATATCACTGAAAAATGGCCTTTCATAAAAAGTTACAAATTTACATTATAGCAGCTTCTGTGCAGGGAGGCATGTTGTTGCATCCTTTCTGCCACCAGGTGGCCAGAACGGCTCACTTCCACCACACACACACACACACACACACACACACGCACACTCACAGATACAGGTCTAGGTGATGTCAGTTGTTTATCTTCAATCTGTTGCTTTACAGTGTAAATCTTTAATCAGCTTCTCTTCCTGGAGGTTTGATATTTGTTTGTTGTGACGTGGATGTTGATGTTAGAATAATAAGATTTAACAATGAACTCTCAGTTTAGAGAATAACTTATGATTTATTGCGTCTCTGCTTCGTGCACTTTAAAGTGCAGAGTTAAAAATGGATGTTCCTGCAGAGTTTTGTCCCTTCCTTTGTCTTGAAAGTCACCTCGCTTCACCCTATCAGAGTGAAATGTTCCTCTCAGACGGGACTTCTTCTTATTACTTTGCGGTCGGCGAGTGTTTCGAGTGTGTTGTGCTTTTCCACTGAAACAATACCATTTTTCCCCCATGATGTAACTTCCACGTTTGGACCTGTGGTTGGGGGTTGAGCGAGTCGACCATTGTGTTTCAGCGAGCCTCAGGATGTCCTGTTGGGGGGAGGGGGGGGGGTCGACAGTAGAGGTGGAGATGAAGCAGCTGAAGAGAGATACGTGGTCTGAATGGTGGAGGCTACTGTAGCTGACCTGATGTTTAGGAGAGGCTCCCAGGGGCCACAGACATTGGATCCCAACAAACTGTTTTATTCTTCAAATCCTTTGACAGCTGTTTGTTCGTTTGGCGGATTAAAAGCAAAGAATTCTTACGTTGGATGTATTTACTTTAATCTTTACTGGATAGAGGATCATACTTTGGATCCTCTCATCAACTTTTCAGCAGGATGTTGAAGGTTTTCAGACTGAAAAATTCAGTTTCAGTCCACCAATAGTAGCAGTTCCTGTTCACAAACAGGACAGTTTGTTTCGGTGACACTTCAAAGATATACTGAGGAAAGTTTCCAGGTAGGTCATTTGAAGTTTTGACGGTTTTTAGAGCACTTTTAGTTTTCCACATTCTCAAAAAATCTGCGTATGATCCCTCCATTTGGTCTTCGTAGCGGCTCGTCCTGTGTCCGAGTCAGAGGAAACAATTATTACGCTGAGCTTATTTGTCTGTCTTCTTTAGCTGCAGAGAGGAACACACTTTTGGATCCTCTTCAGAACTTTTCAGCAGGATGTTAAAGGTCAGATTCTGACGGTTGCACTCAGGAAATACTGAGGAAAGTGTCGAGCTGGGTGATCGTTTTGCGGACTGAAAGATTGGCTGGAAAAATGGTTTCAGTCAACCAACAGTAGCAGCTACTGTTCAGGAACGGGACGGTTATTTCTGTTACACATCAGGAAATACTGGGTAGAGGTCTGTTTAAAGTTTTGACAGCTCTCCTAAAAATCTTCCTTTAGCTCATCATTTCATCTTCTGTATTTGGTGGGCTTCAAACAGCTCATCCTGTGTTGGATTTAGAGCAAAGAAATTAAGCGTGAGAATCATTTTCTTGGCTTCTTCTGTTAGAATAGAAACTTACTCTTTGACCGGCCAAAGAACAAACTTTTTCAGCGGAATCCTTGAGGTTTCTGGGACAGAATAATGGAGTTTCAGACGCAGCTACTGGTCCTGATCAAGACCTCTTCATTCTGTTAAACTCGGGGGGGAAGTGTTGTTGTCAAGACCACACTAACCAAGACCAAGACATACCGGAGACCGAGTCAAGACCATAAATATCTCTGACAAAACATCATCTTTTGTTTAGGGGGCGTGTCTCTCACTTAGACCGTAACACCGGGAAGGTTGCGGCCGTAACGGGGGATAAAAATCAAACTACAAATAAATTGAAGTTATTGTTTTCCTTCTAATCACAGTGATGACGTGGAGAAACAGCCGATCAGAGGTGGTCTTGACCGGTCTGGATTTAAAATCCAGAGTCTGCCCAGTCTGAGACCGAGACAAGACCGAGTAAAAATTATTTTGCCGACCCTTAGTATTGAGCACTTTATCTGTTTTTAAACAGTTTAAGTATCCGTCAGCTGGGATTCAAAGCTGCTGTATTGGTATTCATGTTGGGAAGGTGTGGGTATGTGGAGGTCTGTGGTTTCCATTTGGTCATATTTATGGGGGTCTGTTTATGGGTTACATGTGGATAATAAACAGATCGGTCTTTATAAAGAATTAAGAGGATATTTAAGAATTGTAGAACAATGAGTTTGAACTATTGTCAACTTGTCATCCAAACATATGTTTCTTTACTTCTGTTGTGGCGTCGGTGCAGGGTCTCAGTCATCCAGGTATTCCAAAGCTTGATCCATACTGGTCTTGGTTTGAGGTCTTGACGATGTTTCACCTCTCCTCCAAAGGCTTCGTCAGTTCTCAGAGTTCTCAGAACTGAAGGATTCTTTGGAGGAGAAGTGAAACATCCTCAAGACCTTAAACCGAGACCAGTTTGGATCAAACTTTGAACTTCTGTGACGGAGACTTGATTCATTACAGAAACTTTGCAGAAGCCTGAAGGGTTTCTTATCTGGAGTATTGAAACATTGCTGAAGTGTTTGTGTAATTTAGACACTGTCACAGAGATTTCCTGGTAATCAAACATGAAGTTACCCAATATTGGTTGCGTAGGACTTCTGCTTTTCGATATAGTTAGATTTTTACTGGAAAGGTGTCAAAGTTTAGAAATCTGGTATTGTGACAACCCTAGTTTAATCAGCACCTCGTGTGTTTCAAGAGCAAACCTGGATTCAATGCATAGTGGCCACTGAAGACACATCTTGGTATTATAATTTGTATTAGTTCAGTAGTTTCTTTTAATGTTTGGAGGGTGACGGTGGTTGGGTATCTTTGGTTTTCATCGGGTCAAACATATGATCAAGTCTGGTGAAGGATAATAATTTGATTAATCCCAAAAATCTGTTCCCAGCTTGTCCATCCAAAACCCTCCTTTCTTCACGTCTATCACGAAGCCTCGATACAAACCAGAAACTTTCCAAACAACCAACACCTGAAGAGTTTTTATTTTTGCTTCTCGAGGATTTGAACTCTAGAAATCTCCATTGTTCTCCTGAAAAGGAAAGACGGAGGCAGGAGAGCACTCTGCGACATCACTGATTTATCTTTGTGGCTCCTTTTCTGACCATCTCCCTCTCTCTCTCTTCTCTCTTCTTTCTCTCTCTCACTCTCTCTCTCTCCTTCTCTCTCTCCTCTCCTCTCTCTCTCTCTCTCTCTCTCTCTCTCTCTCTCTCTCTCTCTCTCTCTCTCTCTCTCTCTCTCTCTCTCCCTCCTCTCTCTCTCTCTCCCTCTCTCCCTCTCCCTCTCTCTCTCTCTCTCCCTCTCCTCTCTCTCTCCCCCCCCCCCAGCGGGTTTATTTTCTCTCTTCCCGGTCAGTACAGGAAGTTTACTGTGAGGACTGATTACAGCAGTATTTACTCTGCTGTTTCTCTCTCGCTCTGTGCTCAGTCATCACTGTGTTTGGACTCTGAGCAGGAAACTACTGCCTCTCCAGATTACAGCCAAATATACACACTCTCAGTCTGAGCTTATCTCTTCTGATTTAAGGTTCTGAGTTGTTTTTGGATTCCTCTGAGGGGCTTTTCCACTTGAACATGTTTGAAACATAAATTGCACAGCCCTCACTGGGATTTGACTCAAGAGGAGTTTTATTGACTGTGTTGTTGACGTCACACACAGGATGATGAATCACATCAGAGATTCATGCTTTTTTAAAAACAGCTCTTTCAGTGGCGCTGGGGCAGGATGTGTTGTGAGAGAGATGTGTTTGACTCATTGGTTCTTCATGGCTGCCTGACAGGAGTGAACTTCAAGGAGGTGAACGACGAGAACAAGCAGAAGCTCTTCGGAGAGATCTACACGGCCATCGACACCTTGGCGTTCACCTTTGGAAATGTGTAAGTATGATGTCCTCACAGCTCACTTCCCCTAAGTGGAACGAATCTGTTGACTCTTTAAAGGACAGTTAAAGTAACGCAGCTTAAAGTCTTTCTACCTAAACAGTTTAAGGCGACTAGCCAGCAACATCTGTATTTGTTTAGCGCCATTCATAACAATTGTTATTTTGAGACACTTTACGAGAGCGGGTTAAAGACCTTACTCATTGTTAAGAAAAATGGGATGGGGGAGATAATATGCAGGAAGGATTTCTCCTTTGTATTCCTCTTGTTCCTGTTGTCCACACTTCCTCCCCGTTGTGCCCTTGAGCAAGGCACCAAACCCTCAACAGCTCTCCCCACTCTGACATCTCTCCACAGGTCCTGTGCGTGTGCGTGTGTGTGTGTGCGTGTGCGTGCGTGTGTGTGTGTGTCTCTCTCAATAACAGAGTGTAAGCAGTGCTCAGCAACCAGACCAGTTTGTAGACTTGGTCTGCATTGGAACCTGAACCAGAGACTCTATGGTTCCCAACCTAAGTCCCTACAGACTGAGCTACTGTCAGCCCAATGAGCTTATACACGTGTTGTTTTATTCCATTTATTTTGGATTCCCCTGCCTGTCTTTAAAGAATTAATTCTGTCCACTTCTTCAAACTTGTGGAGAGCAGTTAACCCGTCTCATAGTTTTTTTCTTGCTGGTCAGTTTGATTCCTTCTCGGTCCAAACTGTGATTTCTTCTTTGTGTGTTTCTCCCCTCAGAGTGTCTGACTTCCTTATGGGAGATGTAGAGAATGGATCAGTGTTGGGGCTCCCCCTGACAAAAAGGAGCAGGGTGAGAAAAACAACTATATTCATACTCTGTTTGTCTTCTTTACATAAAACGCCTGAATGATGCAGTCCAACTGTCCTTCATCTAATCGAGCCATCGAGAGGCATGAGAGTGTTTATGGTGCCTCTGTTCTTAAAATACATTCAGTGTCATAGGAGCACCAGGAAGTGTCAGACTAAAGATATGAAACATTACAGGAGAGGTCAGAGGTTAAGCAAACTCTCGACACTCGATGAGTCGATGTGATGTATTTGTTGATTTCCTGCTGCAGGTTTCATAACCGCTCCTAAGTGAGAGGCCGTCTAGCTTAGAGTAATGTCATCAGAGCTGTGACTTCATCCTCATCATCGTGGATCTTAATCTTCATCTGTCTGTGATTCAGTCTTTCGAGAACGTCTCTGTGGAATCTGGAGGATCCGGTCCAGAGAAAGATGATCTGCCAGGTAAGACAGATCTCTGTGACACACAGCAGCTGCTGCTTCATCAGTGTGAGGAGAGAAACTCAAATTAAGCTTCAGAATTGTGTTATTTTAAACCTTTACTCTACATGTAGAACGCTTTAGGAGTAACAGATACCAAATAATTTTGAATTGCTTCAGCCTGCAGAGAAATCGCAGGTCGCTGGGGCTCCGGTGTCTTCAAGCACTAAAGTCAAAGTGTGTCCCTCACAGGCTCCGGTTGTTATTCTAAGTGTGTGACATCATCACAGAAAGGATCCCTGCAGAGAGATCTTTTAGTTAGAGAGGGAGAGGATTTTTTTAAAACCAGAAGCAGCCCCTGTCTCGCTCTCTTCAAAGCCACCAAACTTTATTTATAAAAAACGGTAATTTAACCTCATAGATCACAGGAGTTGTTCTTTATTTCTGCCTCGGGGCCAGTTGGTTTGCTTTGCGCCAATTTGGTTTATCAAGCAGTTAGTTCAGGTCCAACAAAATATGAATGCAATATATGATAACACACACCAAAAATCACATCAACAGACCTCCTGTAATCTGCGCCGTAGAATCACTGTGTTTAATGATTGTAGTCTGGTGTGTTTTAGAGAGAGTGCAGTGGTTAGCGCTGTCGCCTCACAGCGAGTTTCCTGGTTTGAATCCTCGTCCTTCAGGAGTCTCTCTGTGAGGAGGTTCCTGGTTTGAATCCCCGTCCTTCAGGAGTCTCTCTGTGAGGAGGTTCCTGGTTTGAATCCCCGTCCTTCAGGAGTCTCTGTGAGGAGGTTCCTGGTTTGAATCCCCGTCCTTCAGGAGTCTCTCTGTGAGGAGGTTCCTGGTTTGAATCCCCGTCCTTCAGGAGTCTCTCTGTGAGGAGGTTCCTGGTTTGAATCCCCGTCCTTCAGGAGTCTCTCTGTGAGGAGGTTCCTGGTTTGAATCCCCGTCCTTCAGGAGTCTCTCTGTGAGGAGGTTCCTGGTTTGAATCCTCGTCCTTCAGGAGTCTCTGTGAGGAGGTTCCTGGTTTGAATCCCCGTCCTTCAGGAGTCTCTCTGTGAGGAGTTCCTGGTTTGAATCCCCGTCCTTCAGGAGTCTCTCTGTGAGGAGGTTCCTGGTTTGAATCCCCGTCCTTCAGGAGTCTCTGTGAGGAGGTTCCTGGTTTGAATCCCCGTCCTTCAGGAGTCTCTCTGTGAGGAGGTTCCTGGTTTGAATCCTCGTCCTTCAGGAGTCTCTGTGAGGAGGTTCCTGGTTTGAATCCCCGTCCTTCAGGAGTCTCTGTGAGGAGGTTCCTGGTTTGAATCCCCGTCCTTCAGGAGTCTCTCTGTGAGGAGGTTCCTGGTTTGAATCCCCGTCCTTCAGGAGTCTCTGTGAGGAGGTTCCTGGTTTGAATCCTCGTCCTTCAGGAGTCTCTCTGTGAGGAGTCTGCATGTTCTCCTCGTTCATGTGTGGGTTCTCTCCTGGTACTCCGTCTTCCTCTCACCGTCCAAAGACATGCTCCTTAGGTTAACTGCTGACTCTGCTGTCTGTAGGTGTGAATGTGTCTGGTTGTCTGTCTCTATATGTCAGCTCTGTGATTGGCTGGTGAACAGTCCAGGGTGTAACCCCGCCTCTTGCTTAATGACAGCTGGGATCAGCTCCAGCCCCCTGCAACCCCTTAACAAGAAAAAGCGGTTCAGATTATGGATGGAAAAAGGATGCCTACAGAGATTTTTTAGTTAGACACTTGGAATAAGAAACAGAGTCTGTCAGGGATGAAAACAACAACTCTTAGTGGACACACTTTGATTGGATGCAGTTTTATGTTAAATCCATTACAGCCTGATTCAATGCTGAGCAGTTTACTGGAGAAATCATCAAATGTTTAAGGACACATTTAGTCATCGAAATCCATCAATAGTACCAAAACTAAGCAGATGTTTTTGGCTTCATCCTTGTGGTTTTGACTTTTGTTTCCTCTGGAGTGTGAGTACAATCACACCTAGACTTGATGAGCAGTCTTATTAATCTGTCCAGCAGTCCCTCTAATGTCACAAATATCTTCAAATTAAACTCCCCCATGGTCAGTGAGGGCTACGCTCGCTGACTCTCCGCTGCAGTCAGCTCAAAGGTCACATTTACTCTTGATGGATGGCGCTGGTTTGCTGGAGGTTACGTCTAAGCTTCATCCACTATAACATCCCTTGTGGTTTTTCCTTGGTTCTCTAAGGTCCGTCTCCACCAGTCAGGGCGGAGGAGGTGGACCGGACGCTGCAGCGGCAGGACAGCGGGGTGGAGTCAGCGCTGCTCTACGCCAAGGCCTGGTCCAAATACACCAAAGAGCTGCTGGCGTGGGTGGAGAAACGCCTCAGTCTGGGTGAGTGAGAGAGAGCCAACGAGGAGTTAAAGAAGAGAGCATTGATGATGTGTAGAGACGCAGCAGAAAAGTACTACCTGCTGCTATGTGTTGTCATGACGATGTGAAGACTGAAGTCAGGTGGAGGTGTTCATGTTGGAGAGGAACTTTTAAGATTTATTTTTGGGCTTTTTGTGCCTTTAATGTAAAGATAGGACAGTGGATAGAGTGAGAAATCAGAGAGAGAGAGAGTGGGGAATGACATGTGGAGGACCGCAGCCCCCATTCATGGGGCGTGCGCACTAACCACTGAGCCACCAGGTCCCACCACCAGTTGGAGGGAAACTTAACGAGATATTTAGTCCAGTGATTCTCCACCTCAGGGTTCGGACCTCTGCGGGGGCGCTGCACGATCATTTCTGAGGTGTGGTCAGATGTTTGTGAAGAAGAAGAAAAAAGGAAGTTACAAAATTAATTAACACATTTTTTGACTGTGGGTCAGTTTTCAGATTAAAGCGCCTGTAGCAGCGAGTCATGGTGTTCACACAGACTGTATGTGTGCTGTGTGAGTGACCGCTGTCAGCCCTGTCTTTCTTTAGAAGCTCCACCCCAAATTAACAAAAAGGTCGAGAACCACTTCCTTTGACAGCGTGGTGGAGGAGTTAACTTGTTCCTTTCCCCCTCACATGTCTTATGAAGAAGACTTTATACTAAAGTTTTGGTACTTCTACAGTATTTATTGCACAATAACATTTTGCATATCAATCTCTTGCACTATTTTAGTTTTTTTTTGCACGTTGTTATCAGATTATTTTCATGAGCTTTTCTTCATTTCTTCACACTAAGCTTCCTGCAGCAACAGGTGGTTAAAAATCTGGTAGATTAATCTAAATTCTCTTATGGTGGCTCTCATGGTGTTTTATTTTGAACTTCCTACGTCATGCTGTGCGGAGGAGAGCCGCATTATGAGGGGATTAATTAGAGTCCGGTTTTCTGAGAAAATGTTCTCGATTACCTGAGCTGGATTGAAAACAATGCGGTGTTATCCCGGCTCGGGGCTGAGTGTGAGGGCCTTTTGTTCTGCACACCAGTTAATGAATGTTTTCAGTTTAATACCTAATCAGGGACACAGAGCGCTCAGTCAGGCTGTACAGAACGCCGGTTATCAGGCAAACATACGAGATGTTTGTTTAACACCTCGCCTTCGGTTAATGCATCCTTCACTCATTGATTTTTCTCACAGGCCATGTTTGATTTGATCAGAAAACTTTAGTTTGTCTTTTATTAAAGGAGCAGTATGTAACTCTGACCCCTAGTGTTTAAAATGGGTACTGCGGTCTAAATTCAAAACATCATAGAGAGCTGTCTCTCCCCCCCCTCTCTAGAGTCCATGCTCACGCAGGTCACCATGTGGTGGACACTGAAGCTTCAGTGTTTATCCAGCTCTGCATGGGTCTGTAAACCTTTCTGTGTTCTAACCTCTCTCCATTTTTCAAAAGCATCTCCAATATTGATCCTAGTTTGAGCACGTTTCTGCTCGTGGAGCTTATTAGAAACATGCAGAGGCTTTTTAGGTCGGGTACAATCACTTCTATCTGAACCACTTCTCTTGCCCGCTTCCATCACTGCAACACCTGTTGACCTGATAACTGCTCTCATATCTGGCAAACGAGGGGCGTCCAAAACGGCCGTGTGGGGTGCCTTAAAACTGCCTACCTTCTCTGGTCCAAACAAATCCAGAGCATTCAGGAGCAGAATCTAAAGTTAGAAGGAGGACATACTGTCTGCTGCATTGTTGTCAGAGAAGCCAGCACTTCAACATAGCATGTTTCCTTAATGTCTGATCAGATAGTAAGGTCACTTTATCATTTCACTCACTACACATCTTAGTTTGAATTAAATCTGTTATTGAATTAACTTGTCTCTGTTCTTTCTGCAGATATTGAGTGTGCAAAAAGTTACGCCAAAATGGCCGAATCCGCCAAGTCACTTGCAAGTCAACAGGTGAGCCATTTCTTCCAGTGATGTGACCTTTGCTGCTACCAGATCTGCTTTTTGTGGACTGACATCAAAGCTTTCTCCTTCCTGTTTTAAGGAATTCATGCCTTTCCGTGAGACCTACATGACCGCTTTCAAAAATGACATTGAGTACAGCCAGCTGGTTCTTCAAACTGCAGCGATACTCCAAAGCAACAAATTCATGCAGGTAATCCAGCAGAGCCAAAGAAAGCATCTCTGAAACGGAATTTTGGTTCTATAGAGGAGACAAAAGAATAATTTTCTGTGTGTGTGTGTGTGTGTGTGTGTGTGTGTGTGTGTGTGTGTGTGTGTGTGTGTGTGTGTGTGTGTGTGTGTGTGTGTGTGTGTGTGTGTGTGTGTGTGTGTGTGTGTGTGTGTGTGTGTGTGTGTGTGTGTGTGTGTGTGTGTGTGTGTGTGTGTGTGTGTGTGTGTGTGTGTGTGTGTGTGTGTGTGTGTGTGTGTGTGTGTTTCTAGCCTCTCCTCACCAGAAAGAGTGAGCTGGACAAACTACGCAAAGAGGTCAAGGAGCAGTGGCAGAGAGAGCTGAAGAAAATGGTGAGTTCACAAAGACGTTTACACAGCCGGGTCGCAGTTCAAGAATGCTCTTGAAATGCCCGAGCATTATTCACACATGCATGTGCACAAGCAAACACATGCTTTGTTTCATTCAGCCTGTCGGGACAGTCGGCCAGTTCTGTGTGTGACAGGGTCATCATCAGTAACTGAGCTTCAAACACAGATCATTATTTCTGTACATGCTTGAATTCAGCTCCATAACGAGTTAGAAAGTGACGAGATATTTGTCTTTATTATAAAGTACGACAGCTTCTCCAGCTGCTTGAGGAGTTTAACTTTCAGGAAATGAATCACTCTCACTGGTTTCTGGCTTTTCCTTTAATACTCACTGTTTGGAGCATCATCGACAAAGCATTAACAAAGAGATGTGGGAGAAATGTTACTTTTAATTGGGACCAAAGTTAAGTTTGATTACTTTTCTGTGATTGTAGTGTCTCGTTGTCTGCGTCTGAATTTTTCATCCTTTTTTTTTTTTTAAATTTCCAGAACGAAGCCGACAGCGCTCTGAAGAAGGCCCGGCTGCTGCAGGCCCAGCGGCAGGAGGAGTACGAGAAAGCTAAGGTGTCCACCAGCCGGCTGGAGGAAGAGCAGATCGGAGGAGGAGGAGGAGGAGGAGCGGCGGCGTTGAAACAGTTGGAGAAGAGACGCAGGCTGGAGGAGGAGGCTCTGCAGAAGGTACACGTACAGCACCTCCTCTGCTGGACCTACTTGAATGTGGTCGATTGCAAAGTTCCTATTTCCTTCCTTTTTATTATTTTTTTCAACATATTTTTATTAAAGCAAGTTCAAGCCGTACAGTGCAATTGGGATGCAGTCAACATTTTTCTTTTTTTCCCCAGAAACATCCAGTATCCAGTATCACTTCTCCCTATAAACAACCCTCCCAGTCCAACAAATAGACCTCTTACAATAACTACAATAACTAAATAAAAATAAAAAGATAAGCGTGAAAAAATAAAAGTACATTTGAGAAGAGTAGTATCAAAAAAAGAACAATAATAATAATAATACAAAATGACGAGACAAACATAAATAAAAAATAAATAAATTAACAAACAGTAACAGGAATGAAAGTCGTTATGTGTATACAACACAAGTAAATAGGAAATATGTCCTTCCTTTTAAAAGCTATCTGGATTTTTGTAGTCCGGTTTTCTCAGCAGCCCTAATGTCCTTAAAACCACTGATAACAACTGTTTATAAAGCGCTTTTAGCTGTATTATTTGTCATGCAGCAGTTCTGTATAATTCAATTCCTCTGTCCTACTTCATAAGACACTCATGTTGCACAGTTTCCCCATGTCGGCAGGATCTTTGTTTGCAGGCAGAAATCGAAATGTTGAAGTGTGTGAAACAAAGAAAGCTTTACACTGCATGCAGATTTGTGCAGAATAAAGTTACAGATACAAACTGGTTTTCATTGTTCAAGCTGTCAGCTGCGTTGCACTTTGCCCTGTCAGGTATGTGAGACGGTGTTGTTGTGAAGGCTTTGTTATTTTCTCTTAGCTGACGTCAGTCTGTTGGGATGAAGGTGATTGTTCTCCTGCGACACTAAAAGCCTAAGACATCGATGCATAAGATGAAGATTCTCTCCATCCAGTGTTCAAATCTGTTAATTGAATAATTTGCTGATCAGATAATTAATCATGGGATGGATGTGTTTGCAGGCTGAGGAGGCCAGAGAGCACTGCACGTCCTGTCAGCTCGACGTCGGTGTGAAGAGAGTCGATTTGGCCAAAACCAAGAGTGTGATCATCACTCAGATCAGAGAGATGGTGTCCCAGTGTGACCTCACCTTCAAGGCTGTAAGTTCTGATGTCAGGGCGTTAAGTGTTTAGAACAAAAATCATATTTTTTATCCAGAACAGACTTGATTACTTGATTTCTTTGTCTCAGGTGACGGTGAATTGGTTCCAGCTCCAGCAGGCTCAGGTGGTCTCTCTCCCCGTCAATCATCAGACTCTGTGTGAAAATGCAAACAGTACGAGCCGGGTCAGCGCTACATCGACTTTGTGAGGAATCTACCAACAGACGGGCCTCGACTGGAGCCACACTCGTTTGACTTTGCTGCCACGCAGAACGCAGGGTGAGACATGAAGACGTATCTATTCAGCCGGCTAACACTTGAAACCAGATAAGAAGGTTTTTATTGTCGGACTGAAAGTTTGACTGCAGTGAGGAACACAGACACTTCAAACACTTACAACCTGATCTGAAAATGTTTCAATCTTTATGAACAATCTGTAAACATGTCCTTAAACTTACTAGAATATGAAGTGTGAGTCCAGCTGGAGGCTCTCCTCTGGGGGCCTGTGTCAACCTCCTGAGTTATCAGTGTTTGTTTCCTCTCTCAGATTTGATCAGGGGAAATGAGTTCTATTTGAGTTATTTCAGTCTCACAGATAAAGCAGCAGCTCTCAGAGAGGGTCACAGTCAAAGTTAGTTTCACTTCATTCATTTCACATTTTACTATTTTAAACAGATATGTGAGGGACTTTAGTGCAAACACAACAAACAGCTCGATAAACATAAAACAAAAAGTAAACAACATCAACAATGTTCCAACGTTTGTGAAATACCGTTTGACTGTAAAACAATACAAAGTGGATGATGATTATTGATGCTCAGGATTATTTAAAGCCTCAGTCCAAAAAAACAAGTTTCCTTTTTTAGAGTTTTGGTTGACGCAGGTTTGTCGTCACACACACACACACACACACACACACACACACACACACACACACACAGATGGAAATAAGGGTGTGCTTTGTTCTTTCTTTGTCCCCTCCGACCCTCAAAACGCTGATCCCTGTGATCAAAAGAATTCAGCTTTGGAAACAGGAAATGAAGCTTCACACTCACACACACACACACACACACACACACACACACACACACACACACACACTCATTGGTCCTGAAAAGGTTAAATATAGATGGCTGACCTACTTTCTGTACTTTGTGGATTAATTATAAATGCTTTTATTAGCACTGGTCGGACTGGTTTCAGTCGTTTAAATCGTCGTCATCGGAGTTATTCGAGGATGTTTTTATCTGATGGAAGGAGTCAAAGATAAAAGTGTACGAACTAACAGCTGACTTATATCTAGTAAAGAAAACAAAAAACTGCGAGACAGAACAGAGTCACAGCGCTCGTCACTTTTGGCCCAAGCAGCCAATCAAATCGACCTCTGCTTTCTATGACACTTCCTCCTCGTCTGCAAAGCAACGATGAGAGCTCTACGTTTGCTCCAATCCATTTTTTCCCACTTTTTTAAAATTAGTTTTTATTTGTTCGTATGCACACGGCCCCGCTCTACAGGCGCTCCGACTGTTCTTTCCCCAGAAGTGCTCGGGTGATTTTGGATGATCAGGGCCTCATATTTTATCATTAGACTCAGGTCAGAGAAGTCCCTCTTAAAAACCTGCAGTACGACCAGAACACCGTGCTCCATGATGGGGATGCACTCTTCATTGATCTGTGACTCAACAATGTGAAATTTACCACAGGAACAGGAAGTCATTAATCTGTATATAATAAGGTAATCTGCTTTATAACGATAACAGTATCATCACTTTTGTACCATTGTTTCCCTCCACAGCTTACCTTTAAACAAGCGCTCGCTGAGTGGCAGCCACTCCTCCCACAGCAACCTGTCCCAGGGGTCCGTGACCTTTGACCCCCTCTGTGCAGAAGACGTGGACGGTCCATCCAATGCCCAACATGCCAAGATCGCAGAGAGGCGCTCCAACAGCAGCACTGACATCCAAGGTGTGTAGGATAGATGAGAGGGCGACTGACAGAACAAGCACTTTTTAAAAACAACGGAATATTTTCAAAATAAAGTCAGAAGTGAAAGTCATCTGACGGCCCTGAACTGCTCCCCACGATGCAGATCCAGAGACAGAGACAGAGACAGATTTAATCCACAACACATCACATCCATAAAGATGTTCCTTTGTATTCTCTGTAGTAATTCATTTTTATAAATACATTTTAACCATTGTATCAATCCTCATTTCTCTTCTGCAGCACTTCGGATTCAGGCCCCGTTTCGTCCCTGGGCCTCGACCAGTCAGGGTGGAGGGATGTGCAGCGACTCGGAGAGTGCCGGAGGCAGCAGCGAGTCTCGATCCATAGACTCACCTACAGCGAGTCCCGGTAGGACCACCCACAGTTTGACCTTTTACCCTACCTTCCCTCATCCTATCGTTTCTGTTTAGCTTTGATTTAGATTGAACTTTAAACGTATTTAAAGACGTAAATGAATGAAGAACGTAAATCTTAGCATGATATTGGCTTCAACTTCAAACTAACAGAGAGGTTATGTAACACTTAAATCCTCGCAGGAATCTTTCTGATGTATCAGTCAGGGAACTTAAATCACCTTTACTTCCTGACACGCTTTCATGTCAGGCATCCAGCCGTGAAATTCACCTGGGTTAGGGTTACATTTGAGAAGACACACACCATCAGATGTGTGAGTGTGATGTCACTGATACAGACACCACAAACACAGGTGATGCACAGGAGGGACATTCCTCCGCTCTGACGTGGCTCCAAACATTGAATCATCTCTTTGATCCTGATGTTCACTCAGCTCTGTTTGCATCTTATCTCCCAATGAAATCACTTAGCAACCAGTGACAGTGATACCTCTGTGTTAGACTTTATGTAACTCTGTTTGGTGCAGGATGTGTCATAAACATTTTCACACATGCACTACTGAAAATCTCTAGAGAAGCATCAGAGTCCTCTATATGACACTATAAAGAGAATATGTGTCTTCCTATCAATGCTACGTGTAGTTGAAGAGAATCTCAGTGTGAACTAAAGAGTGGAGAAGAACATACTGGAGAACAGGAAACATGCAGCAGCAGGTTCATTAGAGCACAGAGATGGTAGAGTGGTGTGCAGACAGTCTATGGTCGTACAGTGATCACAGGAATAAAGGTCACCACCCCCTCCCACTGGCTCCAGGTGAATTCTCCTGATTATATCCTGCTGTGTTCTCACATCAGCTCACTCTGACTTTCTGTAGAATAAATACGAGGAGGCTGGAGGAGAAACTCTGGGTGAAGAGAGAAACATTCAGATGTTTCTGTTCACACATGACGCTCAGACTGAAAATATCAGGACGTTTTTCAGGAGTTAATGGAGCGGGGGTTAAAAATGGAGATGTGACTCGATGTTGATTGTGATCGTGAGGACTTACTGTTGTGTTGTGTTTTACTGTGCAGGAGACTTCAAGAGGAGATTACCTAGAACCCCCTCCACCGGCACCATGTCGTCTGCAGATGACCTGGACGACAGAGAGCCTCCATCGCCCTCTGATACAGGTGAGTCAGACTGAAGTCTTTGAATCAACTCGTCTCATATAATGCACAAAGTATGTTTCATATTGTGTCAATCTTTTGGGTTGTTATTGAGTTCATGCTCCATACGAGAAGAAAAACCAGCATCTTTTTTGCATCCATCTTCCGCCCGCAGGTTTGAGTGAGATGATTATTGAAACAGCCAGCTCCCCGGGTCCCTTCAGAAACACCCAGATGTCCAAAGCTGCTCAGACCCACAAACTGAGGAAGCTCAGAGCTCCATCCAAGTGTCGCGAGTGTGACGGCCTGGTGGTGTTTCACGGAGCCGAGTGCGAGGAGGTAACCCTGGTTTCTTTTCTTCTCCCTTTTAGCTCAAAAACAAACTGAACAAAATGCAGACCAGCCGTGAGCCACTTCAGCAAGTCCAAAGCATTCAGAGGACGACGAGTCCTCCATGAACGCTGCCAAAAGTTTAGAACGGCGTCTTTATCAGTCATGGTGAGCAGAAATCAAAGAGCGACAAAAGAGAGAGAGCACCTCTGCCCATCAAAACTTTAAACTGGCAACAAAGTTCTGCTCAGAGTCCAAATCCTCCTCCGGGAACGAGCGTGGAAACTGAAGGTCTTTTGTTGTCTTCTGAGGACTCTCCTCCGTCACCCCTGTGACCCCCCCGCCGGTTCATTTCAGATCCAGTTTCTCTCCATATTTATAAGATGGGAAACAAGAAAACAAGAGTTACTGGGAGAGTTTATGTAACACTGGTGGATTCAGTTACAAACATGAGAACTCTGCAGTCTTTTCTCTTATTGGTTCAAAAGGTTTGCTGACGTGAAGGTTTTTTCTTTGTTTCCTTTTTAGGAACAGTTCCCGATCTGACTTTCTTTAAACGTCTGTTTGATGTAAAAAGGCCTCAACAAACTGGATCAATGGTTTACCTTTGTGATAGGTTAATGGAAAGCCTTATTTATGGATAGAAGTTAAAAGTTTTTCTAAATGTGTGACATCATCACAGAGACCTTCTAGATGATTTGAAACACAAACAGCTGTTACATCACTCTACAAACACACCACACTCATAAAAACCTTTATTTGACCTCACAGATCACAGGAGTTTGTAGTCTTCTAATAGATTTTTAGAAGGTGTTACTGTTTGACTTTGGTGTATGTGGGCAATACAAGATAAGACGAACCTGCTTCAGACAGACGTAGACAAGCATTTCTTTTCTGTGTGGCACAATTACTGTTTATGTTAAAGGAGTCTGGTGAATTTGAAAACAGCAATGAAAGGCTTATCTCTTGATTAAAAAAGGATTATTTCATGCCTGATATCATAACAGAAATGACTTCAAACAAGCACACCATGTGAAAGATTGCCTCGCAGCTTTTACCGCCTGTTTTCCCAACTCTGACTGAATCTAAAGCTGAAGTCATCATCTTGCCTCTTCAGCTTTGAAGATCAAAAAGTCTGGTCCTTTCTGTTGAAACCTCTTCCCTAAGTCCACCCGTTTTGTCTCTCATGTCTCAGTGTGTCTCTGTAATAACTGAGATCCATGTGGTGGTGTTTGCAGTGTTCGTTGGCCTGTCATAAGAAGTGTTTGGAGACTCTGGCCATCCAGTGTGGTCATAAGAAGCTGCAGGGGAGACTCCACCTCTTTGGCATCGACTTCACTCAGGCGGCTAAAAACAGCCAGGACAGCGTTCCCTTCATCATCAGGAAGTGCACGTCAGAGATTGAGAACAGAGCGCTGAACATTAAGGTATTTTCTCTCCAGATATTATGAGAAATTAAATACAAATAAGTAGTATGTGAGAGAGAACGCTGCTACTGTCAGATATTAAAAGATTTGAGTGCATCTGAAGATGAAACAGGATCAGGATAAATGTCACCAGATTAACTTTAGTTTAAGAGTTTAACCGATTTGCTTGTTTCATCCACACAGTTTGACCATAAGAAGAATGTGTCTTTTGTCCTGTGTTGAATTCATTTCTGGGTTTTCGTTCTGTGCAGGGTATCTACCGCGTGAACGGTGCCAAGTCCCGGGTGGAGAAGTTGTGTCAGGCGTTTGAGAACGGGAAACACCTGGTTGAGCTCTCGGAGCTTTATCCACATGACATCAGCAACGTGCTCAAACTCTACCTGAGACAGGTGAGCTCCTTGAAGAACCTCTTCATTAGAAAATCACTTTCAACCTCGACCCTGTTTTTACATGTAAATGATTTATCTGACCTTCTGGTGGAGAGGCGACTGACTCTATCACTGAATGCTAGTAGTAGCTCATTTTACTTGTTGAGTTTCTTAAAAGGAGAAGTACTGGCTAATTTAGGGAAGAACATCTTATTTCAAGACACTCGACAAGTACAACTTTTCTATTCAGGCCTCATTTTTTTATATCTCTTGGAATAAGATGTGTATCTGAACTCGTCGGGTGAATGTGTCTTATGAGAAGTGTAATAGATATTTTTGACAAAAACACTTACTTAAATTAGTTTCTCTGCAGTAATTCCTCCTCTTTAATCCAGAAACAGCTATCTGAAAAGCCACCAGACTCCAAACTCAGAAACGATATTTTGACCTCTCAGAACACGGGAGTTTCTCGTCTTCTCGACGTCCGCCTCATTCTGAAACCTTGTTGGTGTTTTTGTGTGACTTTGTTTTTTTAGATTTGTATTGCATCTCCCGTGCTCTGCAGGATCAGATGATGTTTTTATCAGGGTATGGAGTTACTTCAAATGAACCAATCAGAGCAGAGAGGGTTCTCTAAATAAGGAAGTTAAAGGGTTAATGTTCCACAGCGTGAAGCCGCTGTGATATTTATTTGTCCGTGTTTATTTTGGGACGAAGCTCTCTCGCCTCACAGTTGATCACATTTCTAATTCAGTCCCAGCTGTTTATTTGCTCACATATTTCAGCTGCCTCTGTTTATTATTCACTTCCTGGTTTGAATGTTGCTTTCCTCTGCAGCTTCCAGAGCCGCTCATCCTCTTCCGTTACTACAACGACTTCATCGGTTTGGCGAAGGAGAGTCAGAGTATCATCGTGGAGGAGCTCGAGGCGCTGAGACTCAACCCATCCCCGGTGGGCCCGGCCCAGGTCAGCGTGGATCTGAACCGAGTCCTCTTCAAGATTAAGGACCTGCTGAGGCAGATGCCACCGGCTCATTATAAGACGCTGCAGTTCCTCATAGAGCATCTGCACCGTAAACATC